TTCAGTCACTTTTTATAACTTTCAAAACCGAAGTAGAAGTAGAAATCGAAATATATTTACTCTAATATTCGCTGATTCACTAAATTTCAAATTAATAAAACCAGTTTTTAATTATTCAAAAAACTTTAATTAAATATTAAAATGCCTTATCCATTGTAAATGAAGACGTGTTTTCATACAAAGTTTGACATAGAAAATAATAAACAATGGTTGCTGCGTAAAATCCACAGCCAAATACTGCACTGAAAGGTTGCGGCATTTTATTATTTTTAAATATTAAAAATAAAACGATAAAAGTATAAAAAACAATGTATTCCACCCGAAGGTAAACGAAACTCACTCATGAAATTTACCCAACTCGCTCGCTATGCTCGCTAGTTAGACAAGCTTTTTATTCGTGGATAAATTTTCTTTTTACCTTCTTGTAGAATAAATAACCATTTATACCCACCAAACTTGAACTATGGATGAATACTTTGTTGCTATGGTTTGAAATCAAGTCATAGAAATGTCAAGGTTATAACTTTTTACAAGAATTGTTTTTAATTTTTTTAACCAGTTCTACTGACCAATAAAATGATGCACGTAGCTCTGAAGTAAAAGGTTTTTTTCACTCCGCTCTCTCAAATTAAACCGCTCGCCTCGTAAAATACTATAAAAAACTAATGTAAAAAAATTAAAACAGTAGGCAAGAACAGTAGAATTCTTGTACAACTGAATTTATAAGATTTTAATATGTATAAAACCCCATTTAATTTTACAATATACCTACAGATAGCAAACTTTTATTTTAAATGGTATGTTGTATATTTAATAAAACTTATTCAGCACTCTCTTTTTATGTTTAATATATTTTACAGTTAAAACCCCTTTGGTACAAGTAGAATTTACTGCCGTCTAAGAAATAAATATCAGTTAAAACCAGAGAAAACGCCTTTCGACTGATTGCTCGAAAGACGTCACCAGACTCGACGAGTGAGGGGGAATCGACTCGCTTGAGCGGGAGATTATTATTTTTTAATTAATATTAAAGACATGAATGTGTGAGCAAGATTTATTAATAAATAAGTACATATTTTAAAAAGCAATACATAGGTATAGCATTTTTTTAAATTCAGCTTTTAACTGAATCATTTCGACAAAACGCGTTTTGTCTGGTTAGAGCTAATAATTTTAACTGAAATTGAGTAAATTCTAGTTGTAGCAAAAGCATTTAGTAAAAACTAGTTTTAACTAGAGAAAACGCGTTTTAGCTAAAAACGGGTTTCAACTGCAACCTGTAACATACAAGATCACCAGATTTCTGTTTTTCGCTCGATGTCTTTAGTTTTTATAAATCTGATGATCCATAAATTTTTGCTTTTTTTAAACTTTGAATACATTTTTCTAAGGCGAACATAGCGACTGTCTAACTTCATGTTATCCTAAACTATGTAGAAGTTGATCTTCGGTTTCCGCCTAACTGTCGTCTGTCTGTATGTTGGCGATTTTATTAGACATGTGAAAGTAATAAAATCGGCAACAGATAACAGACAGAAGGAAATATGAGAGCTAGTTTCTCATATTCTAGGAACTACGACACGTGAAGAAAACACGAAATTGACCATTTGTCAGCTAGGGTACACTCACATGATTATCTGTGGACGAATCCACAAAAGATAAATACATACCTGTATATTGCATAAAAGTGTTATTTAATTGCGGTTAAGGAATCAGAAAAAAACAAACAATAATTTAACCTCATTTCTCTGTTTTATTAATGAAATGTTAACAAATTTTAATTGGGCTAATAAAATTCTTACACACAACATTACTTTAGTGATTAATAATACCGCAACGCGTATACATATAGTAAAGGCGGAAGAACTTATTTGCGGTAAATTGCAGTTTACAGGCAGGGTTTTAATGTTGAGAAACGAGGCGAAGCGGAGTGCTTTAATAAAACCGAACACTGTAAAATGCCCAACGCACAAGTACCGTGATACATTTTTTGTCAAACGTAATTTTACTTTATATGTACTAATGTTACAAATTCGAGCCCTGTCGAGTAAACTGTTTTACATAATTTTGTAATAGGCGTTGCCTCAAAATACTTTGTAATAAAAGAAAAACGTCGCTGTCATTTTGAAAATAGTAATTTTTTTACTTCTCAAATGTTCTATTAAACAAAAACTTACCTAACTAGCATTTTCGCAAATAGTATTTGTTGAGCCGTTTTCTTTTAAGGATCTCAAAAAATAAAAAAAAATGACTAATTTTACCACACTGGTGGTGAACGTCACTCGTTTGTGAATGTATGTTGTTCATAGATCCAGGGGGCAAAAAATAATTTAAAAATATGTTGTCCAAACTTGTAAGTTGTAAGTCAGTTCACATGCTTAAACACTCTTAAATAGAGTAGCTAACGGCATAAATTTAGAGAAGCTTTCGTTGATGGACATGTTTTACATTTTTTAGGTGTATTATTGCCAACTGATCAGCCATTAAACTTTTTTGCAAATAGATGTGAACTCTACTACCACAGATTCTACTATAAAGCTCCAAACGGGATATTTGATACATTGTGCAATTTAATTTCCTTATATTGAAATCTTCAATGATTGTTTAAAAACATTCTTCATTTTTAAATTTAAAGATCTTATCTGGACTTATGGCACTGCAATAATTCTTTAAATTTGTTACTTAAAATACAGAGATAATCTGAAAAATTCGTGGCGGTACAAAGAAAAGGAGATTATTAGCTAGTAAAATTTTAACTAGTACCTAATTCTGATATTCTGTAAGTCTTTTTTCTGTTTTCCTTCCCTGTTCCTTTTTCTTAAATTTTCGGTCGTTTTGAATAAAAAACCGATTTAAAAATAAAATTCTCTAATATGAAATTTTGGTTTGTTTTCCATCGTCTTCTGAATGTAGATTTTTCAATTGTAGTTTCACTTTATTTGATGTTTCTATCCCTATTGTTGTCTGATGTCTTCATATAACCCCACTTTAAGTAATATGACTATTGTTGTAATTATTATTTACTTATTAGGGACGAACAATGAAGTTCGATTCTGGAAAAATAATTTCGAAATGACTCAAAACCTCAAAAAGAGTCAATACCATTAAATTATGATCAAACCTGTAGAAACTTATCGAAGATCACGAAAACATAAAAAATGTTAATTTAAAATGCCAAAAACTGAAGAAACATCTAAAATTTTACAACAAGTTGAAGGTATCACTGCTATGCACCCAGTTTGTTGTAAGAAGCTTTTTAAAACGTTTTATTGCAGTTTGCATATAATTAACACGTCCTACTGTCGTTAAGTTCACTCTTAAAATAAAATTAAGGTCAATGAAAACCAATCAAACGAAAAATGAGTTCATAAACTGTATGATAGTAGTTATCCAGAGTTACAGAAAATAAAGACATCACAGACAAATAAACATTTCGTTTGAATGCGAAAAACAGGTGCCGAATTTAGTAAAGCTTGTCTAGAATTATAAGAATTTTATGGACTCCCAAAGTTAATTCGTTTTACAGCCCTGTTGTCAATTTTATTGTACAGCTGAAGAGCGGGGCGAACTCAGGTACAGAAAGCATCGGCTTTCCCCTGACAGGCTCTTTACCTGTACAATAGAATTGACGCCTGGGCTGTTAAACGAATTAACGTTGGGAGTCCATAAAATTCTTATAATACTGGACAAACTTTAACAACAGATCATTAGTTCACAGAATACAAATTCGTCGGCAGTGTTGTACTCTTTTATAAAAAATACGAGCAATTTTGTCAATTCACTGATGAAATTTGTATCCACCACACACCTGATCACTCAAATAGTATTTAAATTATTGAACTTATTACTTACTTCATGTATTCTTCATATGAAAAATATAATAATAATGTGTTAATTGCCCAACAGCTCATAAGAACCAATTACAGAGCAATTGATAGAAACTAAAGTCTTATTAATACCAAAAAAAAAAAAAAACAAGAAGGAGATAATATAAAGTAAACAAGAATTTCTACATACTAACATAAATAATAATAATTAATAATAATTAATCTCTTGCGAAAATACTTGAAGCCAAATACTTGAGATCTTCCAGATATATATTAAATTATTTCCATGATCAGCAATGATTTTAGCAAATATGTATTTAGGTGAACACCAAACCCTATTTTAAATATATTTTGAGAACTGAAATTATACTACTATAGTACTTACACTGACGACGTTTCTTTTGTATACAATAAAATTTTACGATGGTTTAAACCAGCGCCAGCGGTTCATACCCACCATAAATTTCAAACTTAAAACCGGACAAGTAAAAAACCAGTAATCCGAGCTATTCTTAGCTACCCTTCTTCTGGTTGAACAATAGCGGCGCATGCCAAGCTGGTGGGACACTCAGTGGGTGAACAGCTTACCCAACTCCTCGTTATGACATTGTAAAATTTTATTATATACAAATGGAACGTTTTTAGTTATACATCCACAGAGGTGGGGTACTTAAACTGTGTTTAAATTCAAGAAAACCGTATTACTGGTTAACAATGAGCCCGTGAAAAAAACAGGCTTTTCTTCAGAAGGCAATTTTTTCAGATTATCCTCGTATAACAACATTTGTGCGCATGAACACTAGCGAGCCGGTGTTTTTCCGCGGCAAAAAAATCAAACCCGAAAGTTTTATAACGCCTTACTGAACATTTACACTTTTCTTGACGAAAGGTGCTTTGCAAGTATTATTACCCTTGACATCCTTCCAATATTATCTAACAGTTCAGACTATTACATTACAAAATACCATTCAAGTCAAAAGCGAAACGAAGTGAACGTACTCAGTCCAGTGACTTTATCGATCTTATAACACGACAAAAACAAAACAGATCTAGGAAATCGTCGCAAATTTTGCAGTAAACGGAAAATTTAGTGGTAAAATAAATAATAAGTGAAAGATAATTATTACATTATTTGATCCTCCGACAACAAAAGTGAAAATTTAGTGCACGAACCTGTGCTGTTGCTTAATTTTCCGTTTCCACCATTTCACAAAGGTACGTAAGTTCAGAACGATGTCTCTGAAGAAACTCCGCGGTCATTACACGTTCACTATAGTTTAGCAACTGGTAGTAGTCGGTTTCGGTTATAAACAAAAGTATTTGGCGTGTGTGGTCAATGGGTTAGCGTCGGGGCGCATGCCGGTCTACGGAGCGCTTGCGCTGCACAACATTAGAACGTCTGCATAAAAGTAAGGGTGTAGGGAAAAATACAAAGCCAGCATGCCAATAACAGTCATTCGAACAATCTTTTTACGCAGAAAATATGAACATAATTTTCTAGAAATTTCCACAAGATATCCTATCGGAGTCCTTCTATTCTACTTAAAAAAATGGTCGAAAGTTGTTTCGACAGTACAAAAAATTATAAAATTTTATTTTGCGGATTTTATATTTTTTGAAAACCCTTATAAGTTGAAATAAACATATGTAAATATGTAATGCTAAATTAAATGTAACGAATCATGCTGACGCGTATATTTTAAACAAGTTTTTACTTTACAAAATTTTGTGATATCGCCAATCATCATTTTTGTATGAACACGTATTTCAACTTAGGTTGGTGCAGTAACACTAATAATAGCGTACTATATTCCCCCCATTCGTTTTTGCAGTTCTTGATTTAATCGATAAAATAAATTGTCATTATTTTTTTGCCTCACCCTGTATAAGCAAATCGAAAAAATATTAATGCAAATGCAATAATTTCAAAAGTGTACGGTATACTTTTATTGAACGATAAAAAAAGCAAAATTAGAATGAGAAACGATACTGCAAACTAAACAAATCAGTAGAACGCCCGGAAGTCGCCAATGTTGCATTTTGCACGATCTCGAGATCATATGGGTCAGTCGAAGACGAAATCGTATTTTTGTAATAACCAAATTAAAAACAAATCAATTTTATTTTCAATTACATTTAGGCCAGACGGCGTCCCTTAACTTCGGGGGCCTCATGGTCCAGTATTATAAGCATATGCGTATAAACCGTCTCTGCAGAAGTACAGACATTGTAATAGTAATTTACTAACACAACTAGTTCGGGATAGCCTGCTTCTCGCACGAACGGTTGCGGGAATGCGGGAAACAGGTTTCACGAACGTGTTGTGTACAATATTTTTTGCAACCAATAAACTTTTAAACCGAAAAGATTAACTGTGAGTTATTTATAAACAACGACGTTGACAGCGCAGTAAACAGTTAGCAATTTGGCAATTCCGGACCACTTTAAGGTTATCATGGCAACAGAAAGCAAAAAACACGTGTCCGGGAAGTTCGACCTCCCGGATCCGTACGCGAAAGTCATCAAAAAAGTCATGTGTGAAAAAAATATATTTACCGCACACTACCAACGGGAATAAAGCTGAGCAATATGCGTAGTATTGAAAATGTTAATATTTATACATCGGAAGAATGTCACGTAGACATTTGTTTCATTTGAATGAGTTTATCGCATCAAAACAGATGACTAAAATTATTCATAAGCCTCAATTGAACAAAATATTCTGAATGTTATTATTATAATTATTCTTACCGACGAGCGTATTCTCACATTTTCGAGAAAATGGGGTGACTCGTTCTTAATTTGATCACTGATTCATTAATTCTTTTGAGTCACCCTATATAAGCAAATTTAAAAAATATTAATGCAATTATAAACTACAAGTATAACCTGATCATATTTTGCATATTTAGGATAGAATTTATTCAGCAAAATTTTGAGGTATCGTCATCAGTTTTTAGGGGGGGATGAGAAATACATTTTAATTAGAAATTTACTATGCTTATGATAACTTTAAAACATATCCACGATTTCAAAGCATTTGGTTTTGCAGTTCTTAATTAAATCAATAAAATAAATTCACGAATTCATTAATTTTTTGAGTCATCCTGTATAAGTAAATCGAAAAAATTTGACAAGAATCGGTCCAGTACTTTCGGAAATTATCTGTCTAATAAAAATCCGGATAAACCGCAGACAGACGGAAACGGGAGACCCATTTCTTCTTACTATAGGAGTCATGAAAGCTCGAGAAAACGTAAAAATAGAGGGTCGGCCGACGTACTTGATTGCAATATTTACAAGTAAAAATCTAAAAATCATAATGAGTGTTAGGTCTTAAGAAAAATCAACAAGATATTTGTCCTGTAGATTTGAAAATTACAAATGTTATTAGTTATTACTGAACGAAAGTACATGAACTGCAATAATGTCCATCGAAATTTCCCCAAATTACCATACGTATACAAAGTGCACTTCTTACTTTTTTAGATGTATGTATACTGTTTACACAATTTCTTAATTACTGTATGCTGCAGGTAGTCACAAAAGTTATGTCATACGGGGCATCGGTCAATTAAGGAATTACGAAACTAAGAATTACCTACACATGAAATTAAAAACAAAAAGAAATAATTGGTTTCGGTACATATTTACTCTTCTTAAAATAAAAAGCAATTAATTAAATGAGCAAATTGAGTAAATACATGAACCTGTTAATGGTGACGAAATTGGTTTATTAGCAGAAAATCCGTCATTAAAGTTATTTCACCGAATTTGTTACCGAAAACTCTAATTAAGTTTATTTCCCTGATAATTTAACTACATTTAGCACCGTTGACGTCTAATCTAAAACTTTAAAGTGATCATAATTGGTCATCTAAAATTTTACGTGTATATTGCTTACGTATTGCAGAAGTAACCTTGACTTGCACAGAAAATGCTTAAAAAATGCCGGACGAGGAATTGACCTTTGTGTTCTACCATTAATGATCACTTATTACGCAAACATTGTGAAATTTCCTTGTCAGTTAACTGATATTTTCACTAGCAGAATTTTTTAAGACGTAATCGGGACTAATTTCAATTTTTTCAGTACTTTGATATCAAAAAAAACCTTCCCGATGTTCTTGAAGCAGAATTTTTTTAACAGTTATTAAAATTGTTTTATGTAAAAAAATCAGATAAAATAAAATCTTAACTTCGTCAGTTAGATAACGCAAAGCAAAAAATTGGTAGAAATTTATTTTAACAAAACTTCCTTCGCCCTTGAACTAAAAAGTAAAAATAATAAAATCTCGCTTCTTTAAAATATTATAAAATTTAATTTTGTTCTGCGATTTTTGTTTTGTGATAACCTCAATAAAATAAAAACCAGTGGCGAATTAACACCCCTGCAATCCATGCGCCGCAAGGACGCAAATTCCAAAGGGGTGCAGTCCGCACAAGTGTAGAGAATATGAAATATATTTAAAGCAGTTAACCAATGGTAAAAAATGTAGATATTCTCAATTTCTCAAGTCTTGCTTAACTTCAACTGTTTATGTTTATGCTTCAAAACATTCGACCATTCGCACGTTCAGATTACAATCGTGGGTGGTTAAAAGCAAATGAAATTTGATTAATTTTGTATTCTCAAGAAAAGAAAATTGGAAAATGACGGACAAATTTTGATTAACGATTGACCATGCTTACATTAACCTTAAAATATGTGTAAAATTTCCCAGCATTCAGTTTTTACAATTTCAAAATTAAATGTTGATGTTTTTTCACAATAATCTGGATGTCAGGAGTAAAACTCAACACGGATTCATAAGTCACACATGCAGAATCAAGTAACTTCATGATAATAATAATATTAATAATAATAATAATAGCATTTATTGCCCAACAGTGTACATCATTTACAGGACAACACATTGTATAATACCTACATTCTGCATAGTATAATGCAATTAACAAAATATGTAAAATAAAAAAAGAATTAATTAATTAATTGTGAAACGACTTAATATGACTGAAACACATACAAAAGAATTTACAGTTAGTGTGCAATATGAAATACGAGATATCATCATAGTGGATGTTAGCAAAACATGATATTCTAGTCATTGGCGAGTTCTTCATGACATTAGTTCTTGGTGTTACCAAATGAAACGTCTCCACATAACGTGATGCATGTTTCGGGACATGAAAGTTTACATAACCCATAATATATGGACAGTCAATCTTGTTAGTGATGAGCTTTAGCATAAACTTCGAACATTGTAAGCCACGCCTGTCAGACAATGAGCTGAATCCATGTCTTTGCACTAGTGAACTATAAATCAATTCCCCTTTCCGGGTAAATACCATCAATTATGAAGGAGATGTATTTTAAGAATTTTCTTTGGACTCTTTCCAGTTGAAGCTGATGTGAGAGATACAATGGCGACCATACTATCGAGCCATATTCTATTCTGCCATTCCTCATAATGAAACCAAGCATTTTCATCGCAGCCTTAGAAACAGAATCTATATGATTAACAAATGACAGTTTGCAGTCAATAGTGACTCCAAGATCTTTAATATACTCCTTCCTTTGCAGAGGACTTCCCTTTATTATGTAATTGGTTTGAACAAGATGTTTTTTCTTTGTGTATGACACCACATAACATTTATCAAAATTCAGTTTAAGTCTATTAAAGTCACTCCAGCAAACCAAGTGATCCCAGTTGCTTTGAAGGCGAACCGAATCCTCAATATTGTAGATGGGGCAAAAAAGTTTGATATCATCTGCATAAGCGAGTGTGCTGCAGTTTACTGATTTTAGGAGGTCATTTATAAACAAATTAAAAAGCAGGGGCCCAAGATTAGACCCCTGTGGAACTCCGGATGTTGACACGTAATTATCAGATTCAAACCCATTAAAAAAGACAAAATTCGAACCATTAGACAGATAAGAAGACATCAGGTTCATAAGTTTCAACGAAAATCCAAAGCTGCTCAACTTCTGTAGGAAGATGTCATGGCCGATGCTATCGAAGGCTTTGGAAAAGTCTGCATATATGACATCCATTTGTCCTCCCTTGTCTACAACTTCACACAAAGATTGCGTTAAACAGACTAGATTAGTAACAGTTGACCTGTTAGTCATGAATCCATGTTGATGTTGTGAAATATATGACTTGACACTATTGTATATACTGTAGAGGAGCTGTTCATATACCTTAGCGAAGTTACATAAGATTGAGATAGGTCTGTATTTGCTTGCATCTGAGCGATCACCATTTTTAAATACTGGGACAACTCTTGCATTTTTCCATTTTTCAGGAAATACACAATAACGAATCGACAAGTTTATGATTTTC